CTCGATATCCGTATAACCGAAGCCTTCCGTCCATACATTCGTGCCGTTTATACTGAACCCCATAACAGCCCCGGGAACTGAGTTTTGGGCCATAAATGTGTTGACCAGTATCCGGGCATCTTTTATCACGTCATCGATTGTGTCATACTTTGCGTTTAAATTAAAGTCTTCGTTAAATCCATTGCCTACAATTGGCTTTAATTTAAAATCAGTTTCAAAACTAAAACTATATGAAAACTTAATCAAGAATAATAGTAAAACTAAATTATTTTTAAATAACATTTTTATAATATTCTATAATTATAATATGTTTTAATTAGTAATAAAAACCACTTTCAATCCTTGCTTTTATACACAATTGTGATATAATATGATTCACCCTGTGCAATCTCAATTGTTATCAAGTATTAATCAGCAATAACAATTCAGGTAAAGTATTATATTATTCTTGGAATTATATTTATTATTACACAGACTCTTATCTAGTTTAAATATAATATTGTATCTCAATGTATTTAATAAAGAGTAAAATAATACTATTTAATTTGAACACTCAATTACAAAAAATAATGAAATATATGTTGATAACATTTTTATGAATTGGTAAATTTACATTAATATGAACTGTACTGCAGTCTTATATCAATCATTATTGAGATCCTGTATTTATATGAATTGATTATTCTGTTTATTAGTTTTTACTATTAATAATAATTGAACAATTTGGAGTTATCAATGAATCCTGTATATAAAATGTGACATTAGTAATTCAATGGTTATTACTTATTTCCAAACATTCATTACTGGAAAGGCTTTTAATTGTTTGTTTTTATACTCAATAGTGATATAATACCAATAAAATATGATTCATAATTATATAATATTAATTGGTAACATGTACGGTAATAATCAGTATTACTAATATCTAAATTTATGGATTAGAAAGCTAGCTTATCTTAAGGTTTAACAATAATTTGCAAAAACTAGTGAAATATATTTCCCATATATGTCCCAGTTTATCATTGTGAAAGCGATTCATGATATGAGTGGTGCGTTGGATAACCCCCACTGACCCCCACCAAACCCCCAAATATTTTGAAAATTGATGCGTACAATTTTGCACAATGCTACTTTAAAAAGTCAAAAATCACAAAATTTAACATTACGTCTATGTAAATAAATAAATAAATTTAGACCCCGCCCGCACCTCCTAAAATTCTGTAAATTGGTAAATATATACATCTTCACTCCGCCATCAGTGGTATAAATGAATTTGGTGTTCTGCAACTAGAAACATATTTTATGCCCAGACATCGAATCACCCATAACAGCTAATTTTGCACACACAAAAAATTAAAAATAAAATAACTGTTTTAAACCAGTAAATCAATTAACTTAAAATCAAAAATATATTTATTTTAAAATAATATTAAATGAATTTTATAATTTATTAAAGTAAATGAAGCAAAATTAAAATTGAAGTTGTTTTAACTGAATTTCCAAAACTGTAATTTCAGAGTTGATATTAATAGTATAATATTGAATATTAAAGATGCATTTCCACTAGATTTAGATGAATATTTTAATAATCTTAATTATATTGTTAACACTCGGAATATGCTAAAATTTTTTTGACTCGTCATTTTAACTAAAGTATTTAATTGAAATTTTGTGAATTGCTTGAACATTTTGGCGACATCCAGCACAAGCTTATCAATGGCTTCAACATGGCCTCTGTTAACAAATGCAACGCCAACCATATTTTCACCAGGGAATAGTTTGAGCATGGTAGTCGTGCCGGTAATGCCACCCGAATGCCATATGACTTCCTTAAATGGACTCGGATTTCGTTGTATGAACCAGGCTTTGCCTGAACAATTTAAAATTAAATATAAATAAGTCTACTGTATGTATCCACATTTAACTATATAAATCTCATACCGTAGTCATTATCACCCATTTCTTTGGGCAATTGAATGCCAATAGTCTCCGGTCTCCACAACTCTTTCACTGTTTTTTGAGATATAAAATCTATTGATAAACAAAAATATTTCAAATTAATATATTATATATATATGTCAGGGAATTAAGTGTATTCACCTAATGGTAGGATTCCTTTATATGCGGCTATCATAACGTTCCCGAATTTTATCATATCTTCAGCGGTGGATATGATACCCCCTGCGGGCCACCAACCCGCGTATGAAAGCAATTCATCGATTATATCAGACTTTTGCAATGTCCCGGATGTTAGGTTTGATAATTGATAGTATTGTGGTCTGTGTTTATAAATCGCTTCCCTTCTCTCAGCAAATGTTGAATTCATGTTTAATTGTGTAAACATTTTCTTCATTTCATTCTCATATGTGTTGTTAAGTATGGACTCAATGATAGCGCCAACCATTTGGAAACCATAGTTTGAATACTCCCAATTAGTACCAGGTTTAAATAAAAGTGGCTCATCTCTTAATGGTTTGATGGTTTGGCTCACATTATCCGCACGTCTTATCAAATATTTATCAATATCTTCGTCAAGACTGTAGTGAAGGCCTGCCGTATGAGACATGACTTCACGAACCGTGAAATTAACTGCCGATCCGTTGAATGTCTTAAACGGATAGAAATCTTTTGACAGATATTTATGGATCTCTGCGTTCAGATCAATGAAATGTCGATCCATGAGCTGCCCGACCAGTGCTGAAGTCAATGATTTGCTAATTGATCCCAGCCGCCAAATGGATTCCTTATGTGTTGAGACATTATTCTCGATATCCGTATAACCGAAGCCTTCCGTCCATACATTCGTGCCGTTTATACTGAACCCCATAACAGCCCCGGGAACTGAGTTTTGGGCCATAAATGTGTTGACCAGTATCCGGGCATCTTTTATC